GGAGGAGGTGAGGGGGTGGAGGAAAGATAGTAAGATGAATAGGAAGAGACGATAACCATGTTGTGTCATATGCAGATGCGTTCCACTTCGATCACCGCGAACTGACGAGGAGTCGCATCACTATTTCCCGGAATTTTCCTGGAGGTGCCAGCCTACGAAGAGCATGATAGTTCGACCACCGCGAACGTCAATATCCACCGTGTGTCCACAGCACGGCGAGCATAGGATGTAGCATCTGCTTCCTCCTCTCCTTGTCTATCCAAAACCACAGAGTCCCGACGACTGAAGGCGCAGTGGTTGACAAGGCTAAACTGTCCGTGTGCGCTTGTCCCACACGCCGGGCCCGTGCTCGATGGATCAGTTTCTCACGGAAACCAAAGATGACTCGGATCCTAGCAGAGTGAGCGTGTGCGTAGAGGCCACTGTACCCCGTCTCTCCGTGCTAAGAGCGTCGAGTTGTCCCGTCACTTGGCAGTCTTCCAAGTCACGACTGTTAACCCGCCGTAATAGATTTGGGAGCGTCGGTTTTTACAATGAGGAATGCGCTGCAGTGATGTGCGAATGGAGTACACAGAGTCGACCTCACTCTTTCGTCACACGCACCAGTACGCTGTCCGAGCTGGTTAGCCATCCGACGCATGGATAGGACGCAAATTAATGACGCAGCGTGAGTCTGCGCCTAGGTGTGCAATTACATACCTCAATGTGTGGAATTTGTTGGAGGACACGTGGTGAAAACCTTGTTCATCGTGAGCGGACCTGCCGTGTGTGGCACGCGCAAATAGACTATTCAACCTTTCCCATCACTGCGTCCGATTCTGCCTCAGATCGTTTAGACTTCATCATGCCTCCAGGTCTAGGTGGGCTGGTAGAAAAGAGCACGACGGACCCTACGCAAGCCCCTGAGGTTATGCACAGGCCAGAGGTAACCATAAGGCGTCAAGGAATACGGTCATGTGATCCGCCACTACAAAAGGAGATGACTGCAATCGTTTGAAAGCGGAGCTACTGCTTCGGTGGAGTGGGAAAAGTGAATAGGACACGAATGCCCGAACCCGAAGCCAGCAGTGAGGAGGAGTGACATAATCTCCCAGGCCACCCCTCGCCTGACAGCATCCAGTCACACATTCATGTTCTAAGGGGCTGCAATCCTAACGATAGGTGACAGCTGCGTGAGTTGAGAGCTGTTTGAGTCATTATCCTCTGGCTGAGGCCCATCAAAAAGCCCAGTGATCTCCCCTGCCCCTGAGACTTTGCTCGGGTAGAGCAATTAGTCCTACGGGGAGAATAAGTAAAAGCGGCTTCTATTAGTCCATTATTTATCTTCCCATCTCCAGCACTAGTGGTTAACCCATAACCATAAAAGGCTGAAATGTGGACGATCGAGCCGTACGCAGACAGTTG